ATTCTCTTAAAAACCACGTTGGTAAAAATCCCCCTCACACTGTAGTTACTTACTTCCTCCTCGGGGCCCCAGGACTTTGTGCAGAGTATGATGATGAGAAATCATTTTGTATGAGATTGTTACACACCTATGTTTCCCTCCATGCTGCAAACTCCTCAAGGTAAGAAGAGTCTTCTGCACCCTTAAGTCATACAACTAGGCAGCACCCATTGGCTCCAGCATGCTATTGACATGTAACACATTTCAAAAAAGCAGCAGCAGGAAGAATAGAAGTTCATCTCCCTCTTCAGCCCTACGGGTGGGGCTGAGGGAGGGATATTGATGAGTGCTGTGGAGGAGGGTGCTGAATAGAAGAAGGAATGTGCTGGACAAAACAGCAGGTGCTCATGAAAACTCAGCTGTCACCCCACACACACACACACACACACTTCCCTTCCCCACATCTTCCCAGAAAAGCGTTCTTCTAACAAAGTCAGACTCCTACACACAAATTTAAGCATGTACTCCCTTGCCATAGAAATCACCAACTCCTCTCCAGTTACTGTAGCCAGAGGTGAAGTGATGATGCTTTGTCTACACAGGCAGGCTCTCTGGGCTGGGTTTGTCTAAGATGTTCTGTAAACTTGGGACCGGGAGGTAGACTTAGCATCAACCTAACCACCTCTGAAGTAAGATGATGGGGGTGTGGGTGAGTATGAGAAGAAGGTGAGAATAAGGATCAAGGAAGGGCAGAAAACTTTGTTTTTAAATTTCATCGTCCATGTTAAAGGAAAATGATGAATAGAATTGGGTTGGTTTTCATTTTTAGTAGGAAAGAAAATGCAGAATGGAAGCACTAGTTTCCATTCTAGTTTCTGCAACTAACTTGAGGCACCAGTATTTGTGATCCTGTTTCTCTTGCTTTGGGCCAGCATCTTGGTTCCCAGCTAGTTTAGCAAATTTTATTTCCCACTCCTTTTCTCTCCCCATAATCTAATACAAGTGATTCAGTTTTATAATTTTTTTGTGACAAAAGTCTCCTTCAGCTTCTGAGGCTCCATTCAGACTACTATTTTGATTGACCAACTGGATGGCAATTACTCTGGAGTCCACTCAGATGAATGTACTGAAGAAACAAATCCATGAAGATATTTTGTGTGTGGGTAACAAGAGTGAATGATAGCTAGCTGTTCTTTATTAGTAAATGGCCCTCCAGCTTCAGGGAATGAAAAGGGGACTCAAGAGTCTATTAAAATTAAAGAAAGCTGCTCATGCGTGCAGAGAGAAACCTAACCTATGGTGGGAACACATCAGAGCATGTGTAGTTTCCAAAATGATCCATCACTGCTCCCAAAGGGAGGGAACTAGGTCTCAATAAGGAAAAAAAATAGCTGACTCTTCTTTCAGTAAAGGATTCATCTAACCAATATACTCTCATCAGTTAGCACAATCGTTTCTCAGGCAGGAGAGATTCTGTACTCTGAGAAGCAAATTTATCTCAACAAAATAAAAAGGGTTGGTAAGTCAGAAAAAGGGAATAAAGCTTTCAAACAGATTTTAAAAGAGCAACATGTGATTTCAAGAAAAACATGTTCAGGGCATTAGGTCGGTCTCCATTTTTCTAGCTACTTTAACCAATTTTATTCTAAACATCTACCCCCCAAGGCAGTATGAGGACAACTGTGAAATGCATTGTTTTCCAAAGGAGAAAACACTACTGACTAAGCATCTGGAAAACTCTAGAAAGGAAAAAAATTCATCAGGTTGAGTAAAAAAGCTTTACTGTGAAACATATTCTTTGATACAGGATGACTTTTGCACTCTCCATTTACAGAAATACAGCAAGTTAGAATTTCATTTTCAAGTGGCATCTGATTTATCACATATAAGTGAAGAACAAACTATATTTAAATTCTGAGAGGAGTCATTTTTCTACAGAGAAATGGATTTCACATAAACTGATTTCAATTTGGATCCACAGAACTCGAAATTAAATTCTTCTGAGGACAGGAAAATCACAGTTGTATGAATTTTGCCTCATGACTGCAAGATCTTTTTATGCCATCCCATATTTGCAGTGAAGGCTTCCATTCTTTCACCACATGTCCAGCAGCATGGAGGCTGGAAAAGCATCTCTAGTTTTGAAACATGAAATGGCTTCCTCAATCATGGTGTCTAGATTTATATAAAGTAGCTTTAAGAAAGCACCCCCATCGGGTCCCCCTTCACAGATAGCCCTTGGAGGTTCACCATGTTATTTTAATGTGAATGGTTCAGTTTGCTTTTAGGTATGATAACACGGTCAATAAAAAATTTATTTCCTAGGATTATCAATGTTATTTATTTTTTTTAAAGATTTATTTATGCATACAGAACTGGGGTACAGGCCAGAGGCTTGGGATAGTGAGAGGCTTCACCAGAGACAGAGCGGGGAGCAGAACAGGCATATAGACAAAGTACACTGCTGAGGGGAGCAGCGGGCGGGTCAGGAGAGGTCTGCCACACCAGGTGGTCTCCTCTGGGCAGGTGAGAATCGAACTCATGCGGAAGTGGCTTTAGCTTCTCAGTGCTGTGCTTTGACCCGCTGCGCCACCAGGGAGGGCCGGGAAATGTTATTATTTTTTTTTTAAAGATTTGTTTATGCATTCAGGACTGGGGTACAGGCCAGAGGTGCAGAGGCAGCGGGAGGATTCACCAGAGACAGAGTGGGGCTCCGAACAGGCCAACTGAGGAAGTACACTGCTGAGGGGAGCAGTGGGCAAAACAGGTGAGATGTGCTGCGCCATGTGGATCACCTCCGGGGCGGGGGATCAAAGTAGCACTGAGCGGCTGAGGAGAGCTTGCAGTGCTGAGTCCTAACCCATTGGCCTCCAGGGAGGGCCCAGTCAACATTATTTTTTTAATATTTCAGTTTATGATCTACTACTGTTTCAAGGTTCATTTAGATTGCCTGATTTAAAAAACTTATGTTCAATTCCTCCCTGAAGTGAGAAGGCTGCTTCTTTTGGGGGGACTAGGGCATGGTGAGAATGTGATGGCTCGAGGTGATGACCAGGTGGTAGGTAAGCATGTGGTGGGAATCACAAGTTGTCAGTGATCTTACTAAGCTAACATTTAGTGACTATATTCTATGTAATGGATGCCACACCCAAGCTTTATTGGTATTTATAGGATAAGGGAAATGGTCAGGCTTTTACATCACTGTAGCTATCACCTGTGGCCTTGGATGCAGGAAGTGTTTGGGAGTGTGAGCTCGGGGCATGCTTGAATGGATACACCTGAACCGAGAGACTGAGGCTTAAAGGGCGGCATGGCACAGAAAACAGGGCAGCGGAGGACGACTGTGGTGCAAGGGCATGAGAGGACGAGTGACTACAGTGATGCGGGACCACAAGATGATCCAGTGAGAGCCCAAAGAGGGCGCGAAAAGATTCACCGAGCATGGGAAGCCTGTCAGCCTGCCCCGGATCTCTGCCTGCTCTGCGCCTGGCTGCTGGCATGACGACATGACCCTATTTTTCAACGACTCTGGTTACCAGGTGAGAAATCTGAGGCTTAGAGACGCTGAGTGTCTGCTCAGAGTTCCATGGCTACTGGGAAGTGACGGGGCCACAGCTCATGCTCTTAACCACTACCATTCTCCTCCCGAGTCGGAAAATAAGAGCGACCTCTACACTGTCATGTAAAAGGTTTTTAGTGCGTTCGTGTTCGTAGTTACGTTGACTTTGTTTAAGTGTTCTTTGCAGTCACTGACCTCTCCTAGATGCTTGTTGGCTGAGAAGTATTCAGAAGGTGTTCACATAATTCAAAGGTGTTCATTTGAGAATAGAAGTCTTTTGAGCTGGGTCCACAGCCCAGGGGCAGTCTCAAGGTGGGTTCCACCAGCGTCCGTGCCTATGGGAATTTTAAAGGATCATGCAGGGAGGTGGTCTGAAGTTAGATTATGGTAAAAATTTTGGATTGGTTCTTCAATCCATTTATCTGTTTTGATTGGTGAGCAAAAGTCTTCAGACAGTGCAAGGGCAGGGGTGGGGGTGGGGAAGGCAGAATCTGCTGTGATGATCAAAAGATGTGTTCATTTCATATGGTCACCAAATAGCTCAGTCAGGCTGTTGAGGTTTCATCTAAAAGACTCAATGCAGCAGTTAGACAAGAGGACTGTCTGGTTCAAAACAGGTTCCATGGGTTAACTGTTAGATGTGCTATGTAATCAATTTCCAAACACTTTCTTAAAAAGCGTAAGCTGAAGTAATCTAAAGTATGAGAAAAATTAACAGCTCAGGTACTATCTTATGTCAAGGTCACATTAACATGGTTTTGGCTGCCTGAAATGGAGAACACTAAGGTGTTTGTAGTAAAAGTATCATTTACTGACACCAACTATTACCATTGTGTCAACAGCAACTATCCATTTCCTCAGCATCATCTGTGTGCCAGGGACGTGGCTACATATTTTACATACATTACCCTTAAACATCACAACATGCCAACCAGGCAGGCATTATTATCCTTACTTTGCAGCTGGAGGCTAAGAAAGAGGACCTGAAACTCAGATCTTCATGAATAGCTCCTTCATATCATAAGGAGATGAATGTCTAAGGAGCCATGTTAAAAATAAATTTAAAAAATTAGGAGTTTGCTTTATAACTCAACCCTCCCTTAGTAATTCAGAGTTATTCTTTAACGTAGGAAGACTGAAGTGTGCCCCTATCTTTGGCATCAAGCTAGGTCGGTACTTAAATGGGACCGATACAGCCTTTCTCTTGTCTACCATTTTGTGACCCTCTAAACCAGACTTTATAATGGCACCCACTAAAATGGATCTTTATCAGGGGTCCACTTTTATCTGCAATATAGAACCTTACATAGCATCCTGGAATCTCAGGGTTGGTGATATCTTAAAGGTCAGTTAGTTTGTTCACTTTTCCTTCTCCCTATAGATTGGCTTTGTTTCTTTCTCTATTCAAAAGGATGGAGAATTGTTTAAAAAAAAAAAAGAGGCAGAAACAAAATGAGATGGAATCATTTGTATTCAACTGCCAGGAAATGCAGGAAGCTATCCATGTTACATCTGATTATATAAAGAACAAACTATACACATGAGGGGTCAACGCTGAGTGGACGCCAAATGTCAAATCACGTAACAATTGCCTGACACAAAAGTTATACAGTGATACATTTAGAATATTTAGTTTAAATAGAATTCCATATTTTTAGAAAAATTATAATAGTTCAGAAGGCTCCTGCTTGTTCTTTTCCAGATTTTATCAGTTATTAATATTTTGTTTTATTTTTCCCCCTGAACTATTAGAAAGCACTTTGCTGAATGACACTTTGTCTCTAATCCATAAATATTTCAGGGTTTATTTCCTACAAACAAGGGCTTTCAAAGTAATACATTTATTTTTTTAACAAAAAATTAATAAAAAACCATCAGAATACATTTTTAAAGTGTTATCTAATAAGAAAAATACACTGCCTTCATTGTGCATGAGAGTAATTTTTTGGTCACTTTTGCTTCCTGTGATACTCCCAGGTCCTACCATGGCACCTGGCACACAGCAGGTGCTCAACTCCCAACTCCTTAGTGTGATACTATACTATGTTGGTCATATTTCAAAACAAAGCATATTTAAAAGAAAACAAAGGTAATAATATCAAAATACGTAGGCATTTATTACCTGTAACTTGTAATTCACTGATAATGCAAAGAGGAAATACCTTCAGCTGTAAAGGGCTGCTGGCAAATGAGCTATGTGAGATGGAAGAAGAGAGATGACAAGGAACGCCAGTGGGGATTTCTCAAAACGTCTTCCCTCCTGGGACTGGCTCTCTTCATAGGTAGCGGTTCCTGATGTATTCTCGGTATATGGCAGTGTCTTCTTTCCCAAGAGGCTGTATGATACCTTGACTGGCCTGGATGTGGGCTTGGAAAATCTCTGTAGATTTTCTGTCAATTCTTGGAGGCTGAACTTCATAGATGTTGTCTTGTGAGAAAGCTGAAATGGGTGTTCTGTAAAAGAGAAGACAGGGCTACATTAAAGAAAATGAAGGCCCACAGTGAGCTGTGGTCTTCAAAACATCTGAAAGTCTTTGACCTTGGGGGCTTCGTAGTACCAATGGTGGTAATGACCTCTTTGCTGTTTCCTCTTGATTTGCTTCCTTTTCTGCCAGAGGACACAGTGAAATAAAATCTACCCAGAGAGCCTTCCCTGTTGGAAGGGCTGGGCAGGCACTCCTTGTTTGTCCCACAGCCCTGGGCACACCCCTGTCTGTGCGCCCACTGACCTACCTCACACACCAGGAATAAACATGGGTCAGGGCTGTAGAGACCTTTTGGTTTCTTTCCTTGGCACATGGTAGACCCATCCACATGTGGTGTTAATGTACAAAGTACTCATTAGCATAGTGAGTGACTGGCAAACTGGACATGTTCAGTAAAGGTTACCTGTTAACAATTGCGACTGCATATTTTCTTGCCTGCCCTCCTGAAACCCTTTAATAACCAAATATTAATTTGCCAGGAATACCTGACCCACTGGTGATATATCCTAACCTGAACTGACAATACTCACCCTACTTCATGTGAGTGTTAATGTGAGTAATTATCTGACATGGCAGCAGATCATAATTACATTACACTGGGGATGTTATTATAAGGTGAACGTAGCATCTCATTGAGCTAATACCCCCCAAAAATCTGAAGCACTAGATGAGGGATTATGGATCTATAAACGGCAGCTTCCTTCTTTCTGGGAGGATTTGAAAAGCACCCAAGAATCTCTCTATTCAAAAATCTCCCAGCTAATCTGAAGGTAGAGAATCACCTCAACTGATTGTTCAGTCACAGATTAAACCCCTTAATCAACTATTTCCCCCTTTACACTGTTGTACCTGACTAGTCTTAATAGAGATAGTCTTGAGATGTGCCCATTTGAATTATCATTGTTCTTTTCCTGAACTATTGGACAGCATCTTGTATGTGTTATATATACATACATCATTATATATGTATTGTTTTAGATAGACATAAACAGTATTCCCACTGGCCTATGCATTTCCAAGGTGGGAAAGAAATGGAAAAACACCCAAGATCCTTGCAGGGGCTGCAGGTGGGCATCCTGTCTCTGAGGGCACTGGGAAGAGATGAAAGTAAATCTAATAACACTTCAATGCTACATAGCAGTCTTTTTATTAGTTGAGATGGCATCTGTTCTTGGGTGAAAAGGCCAGTATTTAAACACTAAATGAAGTGGAAACTGTGAAAATACTTTTTGCTCACTCCAGTAGAGAGAGCTGGTTTCTTATTGCACTTTTGGGGTGGAAAAAAAATGATTCCATATTTTCTCCTCAGCCTGAACAGAGGGAATGTTCTTTTTCAGCTCTTCCTTACAGGCCCCAAAGGGATAGCCCTATTGCTCCTCATTGAAATGTTAGTAGTATTTTTGGAGATAAAATATTATAATTATAAATTTGCAGGCTCATTTCTTTTTATCTACAAAACCTAGTTCCATCATCAAGGAGAATTCTGTATTCTCCTCAAGGAGAAATTTAGAATAATGCATTTGCCAGTTCATTTATGGACGCATCACCCACATAACTTGGTGCACTCAAACGCTGAGGGCTGGTGCAGCTTAACCTTAACGGTAGTTGCCATTCACAGAAGAGAAACAGAAATTCATTAGACACACCACATCCTTTTAAAGAAAATTCTTACTGGTGCCCTTTCATGCTCTTTCTTAAATATGGTATTACTCACTCAGGCATAAAACAACCAGGTCTGATAATTACCATACCTTACACTTGGATGCAGAACTAATGCTTGAGTCCCTTTTAAAGTTCAATTTCTGATGAGGTTTTTTTTTTTTTTTCTGACTTATACAGACTGAGTACCCAGTATATAAACATATTGGTTTGACAAGAAAATAACTGGCCAGATTGCAATGTTTTTTGAACTTAGTAATGTCAGATATTTTGTGGGTACTGATAGAAAAAACTAGACAATATTTGTATAATTCCAATTTCACATATGTGATACTTGTCCATATGTTAAAATTTTATACCTTTTTTGTGATTAACATTTTGGCACACATCAAGTCCCATTTGGCAGAAAATTCAGCAATGGTTTTAGTCACAAAATAATATTTCCATTCCCATGATCACTTTTTTTAAAAAGATTTATTTATTCATGCATGCAGAATTGGGATACAGGCCACAGGTGCAGGGGTGGTGAGAGAATTCACCAGAGACAGAGTGAGGAGCAGAACAGGCCAATTGACGAAGTACACTGCTGAGGGAAGCAGCGGGAGGGTCAGGAGAGGTCTGTGGTCAGCTCCAGGGCGGGGATCAAACTCATGCTGAAGTGGCTTTAGCTTCTTAGTGCTGTGCTTCAACCTGCTGCACCACCAGGGAGGGTCCTCCATGATCATTTTTTAAATTAAATTATTTTACTGAGGTATAATTGACATATAACATTATACTAGCTTCAAGGTATATAACAAAGATTTGACATTTGTGTGTGTTGCAAAATAACCACCACAATAAATCTAACAACTGTTACCATCACCAGTTATAAAAATGTTTTTCTTATCAAGAGAACTTTCAAAATATCTCAGCCACTTTCAAATGCACAATAGTCTTATTAACTGTAGTTACTGTGATGTACATTAACACCCATAATTTACTTATTTTGTAACTGAACACTTGCACCTGTAGACCTTCTTCACACACTTGGCCCAGCCTTCAGCCCACTCTGCACCAGCCCCCTCCATGATCCCTTCTTTTGACACCAGAGATGCTATTTTTTTCCTCTAATGTTTTCACATCACCAAAAGATTCTTAGGTGGTCACAATGAGTCACAGAATCAAAAGAACATTATAACTGAAGAGGACCTTACAAAGACTTTGACCAACCCCCTCATTTGCAAATAATGATCATCAGGTCATTTCTCTCATTTGCTCCTCTAGAATTGATCATGTGCTCTGGTCTCAGTGGAGCAAAACTTCAGCAAATGCCATAACCCTTAATTATTATTCTGTCTTTCTGCTGGCCACTGTAATTTCTATTAGGAAGTAATGGCCCTTATCACCTAATCGGCAGAGGGTGTTCAGTACACATCACTATGGAATGATTTTCTTTCTTTCTAGCCTTTAAAATTGACAGCCTGTAGCATCACTTTGAAGAGCCCACTCTAACAGTTTTTGGGTTGGTTTTTTTTGATTGTCCATTACTTTTCTTTAGACTTCTTAATTAGGTTACTTGTATCTTTCCAACAAGGTAACCTAATTCAAACTTCAAATGCTGGAGCTGAGTCATGCATCTTTTCTATCAAGATAATACAGTGAGATTGTGTTTGCCTCTTCATGTTAAAAACTACAGTAATACTGCATGTTACTCACATTCTGTACACAAGAACAGGCATCTAAGTCCCAAATGTAGCTCTCAAGCAGCACTTGCCCAGTAGGGTAACTAGAGTCTATTTAATGTATTTTTAAATTAAATGTAAAGTTAATTCCTTATTAGCACTAGTGACATGTCTAATGCCTGGCAGCCAAGTTCAGTTACTGGCTTCTCTACTGGACAATGTAAATATGGAACATTTCTATCCTCATAGAAGTCTTACTGGACACACTGTTCTAGAACCTTTTATTTTTTCTTCAGAAATTCTGGGTATTTGCATGTCTTTCTAAGCTCATTACTTTAATATGTTTCTGCCAAACACGTATTTAACATTATCCAATCTTATTTATGTGTTAAAATATGTGTTAGAGTGGGAACTCCATCTCCAGTACTTCTTTATCTCCACTGCCCACATGAACTCCTAGCATATATAAGTGCTCAATAATTATTCACCCAGTGAATGAACAACATCTGTTTAAGAATATGATTCTACCTTGGGTTACTAAATGCAGAACCTGAATTCAATGTGCTTTACATTCCTCTGGATGATACGAGAGCTGGTGTTTCCAATCAGGTACCTGGCTCCTCCTATGTACCTTTTCTTACATAATCCATAGGGTGAACAAGGGGGCTGATGGGGAACTGAGGTGCTTTCTAGGGAGGGACAAAGCTATCAAAATTGTTCAACAAACAGGATGAGGTAGGAGGAATGGCATTTTTTTAAAAAATGCTCATTAGGAGGTGAGAAAACAGGGGCCCAGTGAGAGTAATAAATATACTCAATGGGCTGAAACTGAGAGAAATATGTGAATCTTCAACCTTCTTTAATAAAACAAAAGGCAAACACCCACCTATATTTGGGATCCTAGACAACAGGTTCTATCTGCACTCACTTTCATATAGCCCATCATGCCAATTTCAAAATTGGAATTATGGGTGAGCACTCAATATTACTTGTTGCATTTACCTCCTAGGGTACTTGTACATCTTTGGTAGAATCTACCACAGAGTAAAGATGGTAGATTTGAGCAAGCACTACTCATGTACTGGGAAATAAAGCCATCTTATTAGCTGCCAGTGACATCCTAAGCATCAAGGTAAAGAATGAATGAATGCATCTCCTTTATGCTTCTACTAAAAGACAAGAAGTCTTTTACCCATACAAAGTTCTATTAATTTAATACATGATTCCCAAAAAGGTCCAATTGTTTTCATTTTATTATTTCACTGAGAGCTAACAAACAGGACATAGTGAACAAACATTTCCAAGTCCTTTCAACATCTGCTATTAAAACAAGGGTGACTGGACTGCTCTCCAGTAAAGACACTAAAAAGGAGATCAGAAATTTCACAGGCAGGTCAAAATTCATTAAAGTGAAGTTAACAATAGTCCCAGTCCCTAAACAAGCTATCATTAGTAGCAGCAAATGGAGTGATGAGAAGGAAAAGAAGAATATAATTTGTGATGATGGAACATGAAATGTACAACTTTAAAAATCAGGGGGTGAGGGGGTACGTTAAGATCCTTCAAAGGTACAGCAATAAGGAATCTCAAGTTCTGGGAGCAGAACATATCTTTAATGATTTTGACAGGAGAGAAAAAGGTAGCATTT